GGGAGACTGAGACATGGTCACTCCCAGTGCAGAACTACCCTTAGCAGAGGAACTGCCTTTCCCTCCTGTCTTCCATGTGCTCTTTTCTCCCTAACAGCAACAAACATGCTGTCTTTTGCAGCTGCGTACTTGGAAATTAAATAATGAGCCTCCTGAAGATGCTTGCCTCACACTCCGAGGTTTCAGCCCCATGAGAAAGTGACTTACAGCGATAGATGAGGGGAGGTCAGCACCGCCCTCACTGTGCAGGCTCCGAGCATCTGGGTGTGGGTGTGTACGCGTGCTCATGCACACACAGACACACACACAGGCACGTGTGCACATGCACACACACGCGCCAGGCTTCTAAGCATGCAGGGCTACTCTACAGAAGCTACCTAGAGCCCTGAAAGATTTGACAGTAGCTTTCTCGCATGAAAGTGGATGCATTGTCATTCCTTAAGTTAAACAAAATGATGTACATAATACAATATTCAAGAGAATCAAAGGGCATGCAATTTAAAGAGAGTCTTCTTCTAACCTCAGTTCTCCCTAAGGGCAAGCCCTGATACCAGTTTGTCGTACAGTCTTCTAGATACTTATGTTGGTGCAAAAGTAATTGCGGTTTTGCCATTACTTTAGATTAAAAGAATATTTTAAATGAGAAATCCACACTTTACACTCTATGTTGTACCTGTTTTCGTCTAAGAATATACTTTGGATATCTGCAGTTTACTTAGACGTGCATCCAAAAGTTAAGATACATGGAATGATGGGTATATATGTGATACAGCAAATAAAGCGAAATATTAAAGTTATAAACTAGGTGGTGGGTGTACAGGCAAAATTCTTTAAACTTTGCTGTGTGTATTACATTGCACATAATAAAATGGTGGCAAATCTATGCATCTCAGTCATCATCTTATATCATGTTATGTTTCAGCTGCTATATCCTATCATATTTTGTTGCACAGAGCTGCCTCATACTTTTTAAGGGCTACGTTTGACTCTAATGAATGAGTTACCCTCTGCATGGACATTCAGGTTGCCTCTAGTCTTTTCTTTTACAAACAGTCCCCTAGTGAACATCCTTTTGCACACGCCTTTGTATAGTAACATCGTTCCACTTACATCTTTGTGGGATGCAGTCCTACAGGCAGAATTGCTAGTTGAAAAGGTATGTTCAGGTTAACAAAATGATAAATATCCAAAGTGTTCTCCAAAAAGATCGCACACATTTTGCTTCCCACAGCTGCGTGGGAGTGTGCGCGTGATGTCTCTGGCCGTCAGCGCTTAGGTAGGACAGCATCACAGTCAGCAACCCCTTCTCTCGCTCAGCAGGCACCCGGAAGCCTCCGTGCATCAACTAAAAAGGACACGGATATGAAAGCATGTGAATCCCTGTATTCATCTCAGACATCTTCGCCTTTTTTATTTCAGTCTCTGGGTAACAGCAAATAGGTAAATTCCTAGGATCACAGCCTTTTAGATTCATCTGCAGAGACAGCCTCATTGGATGGACGGGAAAACTGAGACCAGCCCAAGTTCACATGTCATTCCCTGGCCGGTCCCGACCAGCGAAAGCACTGAGGGTGTAAAGCCTGGCTCTGTGGCCGGACTGCGGAAGCCCTCTCCAAAGGCATCCTCGTTACCTGAGGTCGCTCAGAGAGCCCGACGGCCAAGACACACAGGCACTGTGCCTGTATATTACCTATGTTTAGTTCCTGCAGAGCACGGCGGAGGTGGCTGGCTACAGCACGGAGCTTCTTAGATAATGACCGAGGAATAGTGAAAATGTCCTTTTGGGTTTTAGCTGAATAATATTTAAGGATTTCGAAACAGTGACTTAATTGTGTTTTTATGTAATTGATGGCATTGTAGTAAAACGTATTGAGACACCACATCAGCATTTTTCTAACTGTTCCTTGGAGAAAAATATGCTCATATGAAAATGGTTTCTTCACTTTCCACTTATGGAATTGAAAAAATTAAAAAAAAAAAAAATCACTGTGCTTCCATGGAATCACTATGCCCAGAGATTCTCTAATTTTAAAGGGTTTTTCCCTCCGGACTTGGCCTACATAATGCAAGGATACTTTGCCTTTCTAAGTAGGGTTGTCCCTTGTTTTAGAAGCAATGGCAGTGGAGGCAGAGGGACTGTTGTGTCAGAGAGTTGGTGCAGAATGCCAGTGGGCAGATTTTAGGGAAGTTCCACATACCAGAGGCCATAAGCCTCCAAACCTAAAACCCAGTGGCAAGTCACTTCTCCTTCCGGCTTCACGCCCCTTGCCCATTCTTTTGGGTTTGGAAGGTGCTTGAAGGAAAGCTGTCTCAATGCTGTGGTGTTGGAAAGTTGTGTCTGAATTTGAAGCCTTCATCATGTTATGTTGATATCAAAGAAATCAGGATATTTACGTAAATTATATTAGTTTTTCTAATCTTGACACAATTGTTTATACGGGGGAGGTTTAAGTCAACTGGCAGTATTCATTTTGTTCCAAATTTTGCTGCTTAAGATTTCATACTGAATGGTCAAATTGTAAACATTAAAAATGAAAATTCAGACTGGATTTATAATGACGGAAAACTCACAGGTCTACTACGTTAAAATCATAACGATGATAATAATGCTTTCAAAGCAACCTTGGTTGCCTCTCTAGTAGCTTGGTTTCCTGCTCCACTCATGGTAGGCCGGCCCAGTGTGCACAGACTTGAGGGCCTGGCTGTGCAAGTTGATGTAGGGGCAGAGAGCCAGCATCAAATTGGGTGCTGCAGCGACTTTTTTTCCTCCTGCGTTTGGTTGTGAAGATGCCCCTCTTGGCTTCTGATCCCTGAGCCCTTGGTGATGCCTTGAATGAGGGCAGCCCCACATGCAATGGGATGCCTGAGGCTGCCTCTCCTGCAGTGCATCGTGTGTGTGTGTGTGTGTGTGTGTGTGTGTTGGAGGCCAGGTTCAAGTACAAGAACAGCAGCTGCTGTCTTTACCACCTGGGAGAAAACACCTTCCTAAGGTGTGTGGCAGTGTGGGAAGGTGATTGTGGACAGGGTGACTGTGTGGGAGACTGTGGTGCGTCTACCCTGATGCGTCTGCACCTGAAGCCAACTTCTTCCTGTGGTCTAGATGTGGACATTTCTTCGAGTTTATCCTGGGTCTACAAATGTGAAGTCATCTGGGTATTCGTAAACCAGCCGCATCACTGAGAGCAGAGGTAAATCCAGTGCTCCCACTTGGTAGAGTTCTTCGACAATGAAGCTGTGTAGAGGTGAACAACAAAACCCGCAACAAAGATAAAGAAAAGAAAAGGAAAAATGTGCCTTGATAGAATTACGCTTTGTCTCTCTACTTAAATGGCAAAACTCATGTGTCTTCACGTCTGGAATAAATATGATGTTTTACAATTAAACCTATTTACGGGAGCTCACCATTGGATCATAGCATTTGCTTTCTGATTTTTAAAGCCCTCCAAATCATTGAATAGTAAAGAGTGCCAAATGCCGTGCGGTGAAGTTCACGATCATAGGCTACTCCGTGGAACTCAGGGATCCACGGTGGCAGCGTGCCCCTGGGTGAGTTGCAGCTCCCTGCTGGAAGAGGGAGGCCTGGCATTTGGCGTCTGGTTGTATGGATTTCCACTCCTTTGAGGTTATCTCAGCATTTGATAGCAGAAGGCTGGTTTAAAACATTTTCCATGTGAGAGAAATGCTCTTGACCCAATGTTGCGTGAAAAAAGCAGGTTGCCAAATACAATACCAACCCAACACATTCACACACATGCACACATTGTAAAGGGAAAATAAAAGGAATAAGCACTGCAAAATGTACGGGTTTTTATTCTTCTGCTTTCTTCTATATGCCTTTATTTTCCAAATTTTCAGCAATAGACATATATTACTAACCCCTGATGTTGTCTTATCAGAGAGCTTTGTGGCTGGGAAGAAGGTAACTAAATAATTAGTTTCATTTATTCAGTCATTCATTCATTCTGTCACTCATTCATTTATTATTTCAATCACTAATTTATTCCTTCACTCGTTCATTCATCCATTCAAAAAGTAAGTACTGGCTGGGGATGGTGGCCCATGCCTGTAATTCTAGCACTTTGGGAGGCCGAGGCGGGAGGATCACTTGAGGCTAGCGGTTCGAGACCAGCCTGGGCAACATAGTTAGACCTGGTCTCTACAAAACATTAAAAGTTAGCTGGGCGTGGTGGCATGCATCTGTAGTTCCAGCTACTTGGGAGGCTGAGATGGGAGAATCCCTTGAGCCCAGGAGTTCAAGCCTATAGTAAGCTATGATTGCACCACTGCATTGCAGCCTGGATGTCAGAGTGAGGCCCTGTCTCTAAAAATATACATACATAGGGCTAGGCACGGGGGCTCATGCCTTTAATCCCAGCACTTTGGGAGCCAAGGCAGGAGTTCGAGACCAACCTGGCCAACATGGTGAAACCCCGTCTCTACTTAAAATACAAAAATTTGCCAGGTGTGTTGGTGGGCACCTATAATCCTAGATACTCGGGAGGCTGAGGCACAAAAATTGCTTGAACCCAGGAGACAGAGGTTGCAGTGAGCCAAAGTTGTGCCACTGCACTCCAGCCTGGGTGACAGAGCAAGACTCCGTCTGAGAAAAACAAACATACATAAAACCATCATTCTCAGCAAACTAACACAAGAACAGAAAACCAAACACCGCATGTTCTCACTCATAAGTGGGAGTTGAACAATGAGAACACGTGGACACAGGGAGGGGAACATCACACACCAGGGCCTTTCGGGGAGTGGGGGGCATTGAGAGGGATAGCACTAGGAGAAATACCTAGTGTAGGTGATGGGTTGATGGATGCAGCAAACCACCCGGGCACGTGTATATCTATGTAACAAACCTGCACGTTCTGCACATATACCCCAGAACTTAAAGTATAAAAAAAAAAAAAGAAAAAACATATTCAAGGAAATGCATTTACTCATACATAATATATATAAAAATATATATTTAATAAATATATAGTCAACAAAAATTAAGCACTACCTTCTTTCTCTCCTGGCCTTGACTCTGGCTCCCTCCCTCTGTCTCACATACAGTCTGGATGGAAAGTACTGCTGTCCACATTGGGCCTGCTGTTGTGGGGAAACAAGCAGATAAATCATTAGTGTCGGGTGCTTTTGACCTTGCTGCCTGATTGTGGCCGGGACCCTTGCGTTAACCTGGCTTGAGTCTGCCGTGTGCAGACACCTTGGTGTGTTTCCATGAGGTTTCAGGCAGAGCTGTAGGTTCCATGTTTCGATTTCATAAGAGTAACCAGAAATGCACTTACTAGGTGGGCAGTTAAAAACAACGTGGAAAGGTCTCTGGAGTGCTTCAGTGATGAGCCATGTGATGACCCCACCAGTCATGTCCAAGGGGCACTGTGAAGTTGGAAGGTGGAGCTCCGATTGGAGGGCCAGGGAGTGGCGTCCAGCCCTGTCTGTCTCCCATGTCAGCCTTAAGTGAAAGCCATGGCCTTCTCAGTACCGTCATTACCCACCTCCACCTTGGAATGATTGATTCATCAGATTCAGAGGATGAACTTAGACATTAAGGAGCTGGCCAGGCCTTGGTGGAAAGGGATGCTGGGAAAAAAAAATTATAAAGCGCCGTATTTTGCTTGTGTGGTATCACTGCCATCCTTCAACAGGACACAGTTTTATGTTCTTTATGTATTGTGAAGTGGAAGACAATATATTGACAGTTGCCAAGCTAGGATTTTAAAAATGTGGAGCAGACCTTCTGTGGAGGATGGATCTTGAGGCTCCCGGGCCGTACAACCTGTCCTGACGCCTGCTGACATCTCAGCGGGACCCGTAGGGAAGGGAACTCCGCCTCCTCCTTCAGTCATCTCCGAATTCAACACTGCGCAGGACTCAGTGACATCCTGCAACCAGAGATACAAATGTTCCCCATAGCTCCCAGGAACACCCAGAGCTACAGCTGAAGCCAGGATGCCTTAGTGGAAGGCACCAAGAACCAGGGGGACTTCAACCTCCTGGTTGCTTCCTCCCTGCAGCCTGGGTGCACTGCAGACTCAGGTGCAGTGGCCATTAGTGCTGTCTCTTGGACCCGCACCTGACTGTGTCTTAATTACAACAAACTGCAAAGGCTTAGGTCCAGGGAGAGGTCAGTTACTCAGGTCATCCTGAACACGTTCCTTCTCCCCAGAAGGACACATCGTAAAACATGTGGCCCCCAACCCGAGAACACCTGCGGTTATCATCCCTCACAGGTGGGACCAGAGCACAGAACACATCTGTCACTCCAGGTGTCAGGTCTCAGAAAGACATTTTTTTTTTAAGGTTAAATAACGTTCGCACAATGGAATATTTTAGAGCAGTAAAAATGAAGGAACGGAAACCACGTGCAACAGCAGGGATGGATCTTAGAGACATGATAGGAGTAGATAAAGCAAGTAGAAAAGGACCACATCCAGGATCAGTCTTTTCTACAAAGCGCAGAAGTAAACATGAACCTAGTCTCGCTTGGGGGTCTCGCATTCGTGTCCTGGGTCGCATTTACCCACCGCCTGCCTGAGTGGTGGAGAAGCCCCGTGGTCATGCTACCATTCCCAAGTTGGGTCCTCATTCGCAGACATTTGTTTGGTTATTACACTTAGGAACCTACATGTATATTTCATCGATGTCTGTATGGATCAATTGTAACCTGAGAAAACGTTTCAGAGTGTGAGCGCCCTGATACGTCGGGTCATCCGCAGCCCTAAGCTCTGGGTTTTGAGCCAGGCTGTAGCGGTTATATCCTAGTTTAGGATGATTTGGCAAGAAACTCTCCATCGCGTCTATCAGCTGTGTGTGTGTTGGAAAGAATTAGGAAGGAAGGGCCGATTGCTACTTTCTCAGGGGGGCTGCATCTTAAGAGTTCATATATGTCATTAAGCTAATGAAGCCTGCCTTCCTGCCCCAAGTAGCAGCCTTTTTTTTTTTTTTTAAAGCAGCTTAAGTAGAAAACTTGTTTCAGTGATGTTTGTGCTTTTGAAGGCCAAAAAAAGTGTTACACTGTTGTTTTCCTTGCAATTACTGTTGTCATGGTGGCTGTTTCTCCTCCTTCAGTGTTCTCCCAGTAGAAACTTTCTCCCTGCCTGGTGATGCTTTGAGGGGCTGTAAGCTCATGGTGGGTGAGCCCAGGTTTCCTCAGGGACTGCCTCTCACTCCCGCAGAGACATCAGTCTCCCTCAGTGGTGGGCCGGGGCTCAGGGGAGAAGCCCAGGTTGTGGTTGGGTTTTGCTGTGCAGACCTGGATATGCTCACCTTAGGGTTTCAGCCATTTTCACTTCTTCAGTGTGGCTTAATTGTTTGTGTCTCACCAAGTGATCTTCATATAT